AGGAAACAATCGCAGCCAAGGTTGACGATGAAAAGAGTTCCAGGCAAGCTCACACAGGCTAGCGACGCGACCCGTCGAGAAACGTATGCCAATATTACCGGGCGCAGCCTCGAAATTTTTAAGTCCGGTGCTGAGGATGATCACCTCATCTCCGATAACAAGCATAACGCCACTAAGGGAGACGGCAAGCATCCATGCGAGCTCTCCGCGTGCCACTACTACTGGGGTCCCAAAAAACGGACTGAGCCCTCGTGGGAGAGACCCGAGGGACTGCTAGTGGAATTTACAGGGAACGGAACATCCACTGGGGCCGAATACTAGACACGCCAGACACCAGTCGGCCGAAGGGAATCGACCCGAGTGGAATATAGGAGAAAGGCCTGTTAAAGGTCTTAGGGTTACTGAGGGGCGGTCACAAAGTAAAGGGGGAAAATCAAAAGTAAACAGAAGGCAGACGGAGACACAAGCCATCAGTGCCCCAGGACAAACATGAAACAGCAGGCAGGGAACAGTTTTGAAATGCTCCTCACCAATGCGTGTAGCATTAGTAACAAATGGGCGTAGCTGAAATCAGAGGCCTTGGGTGTATAGTGCATGGCCATAACAGAGACATGGCTGAGGCCCGAAGAGAGTATTAGCGCGTGCATTTCGGAGGACTACTGTCCCTAGAGAATTTACAGAGGAGACGGGAGAATAGGAGGGGAGGCCTTCTGCTAATGATAATGTACCTTGAATGGTGGGCTGGAATTACACCAAACTCTCCCTGCATCCGAGCTGTCTCGTGTAAGGCCAAAAGTGGGAGCGGGTGGGTTAACTTCGTTGGCGTATACAAAAGCCCATCAACGAGTGTTGATGAGGAAGCTGCTTCAGATTTACTGGGAACCGTGGGCGATAACATATTCATAATGTGGGACTTCAACGCACCAAAAGTAAACTGGCAGGATGAATGGGCTTCTCAAACATTCTTTGGGGGACGCCTGAATGCATTTCTACGGGAGCGAGATCTAATTCAGCATGTATTGTAGACCACGAGATGGAAAGCCGGATCCTCAGCAGGACTGCTTGATTTGGTCATAACCAAGTGCCCGAATGATGTAAGAAACCTGATACTGAGAGCACCAGTAGGACGCAGCGACCACGCAGTAATACGTTTTGATGTACCATCTACACCGGACAGCCCACCGGATAAGACACGCAGGTCCCTCAGAAGAATAAACATTCAAGGGATGCTGGACAGAGCCGCCACCTCAAGCTGGGGGGAAAGCGGAAGCACAGTTGAGGAATTGTGGGGAGTTACAAAAGACAACCTTACTGAACTTACACAGGAATTCGGACCACTGCGAAAAATCAGAAGGCATGAAAGACCCCCGTGGTGGTCGAGTGGAGTGGGAAAAGCCCAACGATGGAAACATGCTGCATGAACACGTTTCAGAAGAACAGGGGGCCACATAAGGCTTCTATGATATAAAAGGGCTACCGAAGCTGCGCCGAGGGTTCAGTGGGCATGTCAGATGAAGTATGAAAAGGGTTTTACACTAAAGGCCAAAATCTGCCCGATGATATCCTACAATCACGTCCAGTCTAAAGCCGCTCTGAGGTTAGCAGTAGGCTGTGTGATAGATGAAAACAGTAGTGGTGTGGCATTCCAACTATCAGGACTTCTAACAACGACCGATTTTTTAATGTATCTTAGAAAAAATGATGTCCAATTCAGGCTAAATGGAACAGATTTTACTTCTAGCTGATTCTGGGTGATTTGTTAAAATTTAATTCGTTTTAATCAACCTTATTTAACTTTGTGCGGAAACTATAAATACTGCAACCTAATGGCGACGATCACTTGCACGCTCATATCAACCATGTTTCATGTTGATGATACGGTCGTTTTTGAACGGATGGTAAAAAATTGCCACGGATCGCTGGACGGATTCTTGGAGGACTTCCGTGAATTTCAAAGGGCCACGAGCACATCCTTCTACGTTTATGCCTTAATGACAGCCGAAGAACTGATACGGGAAAGAAAGTTTGATCGGAAACTAACTTTGCCTGAGGGTTTTCCGTCACATTTATTTTGTTCCCAAGATTATGCTGCACTGCTTTGCCAGGTTTAATGATGTTTTGTTGGCGGACGCCACACAGTTAAATTATTGCGGGTACGAGCTTTGGCATGCTATGGTTGTAGACGACACCGGTTTAGGCAGAAGTTTCTTCTACGCTATCTTGCCGAATGAGAGCGGTGAGAGATATAGATCTGCTGTGGGAGCGGTGAAATCTATGTGCCCAGTATTTGCACAGTTCAAGACCATAGTGGTTGGTCGTAGCTTGGCTCAGTACAACGCGTTTTCAGAATATTTTCCGTCATCTAATATGATATTTTGTTGTTTATATATGAAGAAGAAATGTAACCAGCTATCTGGTATGCCAACGTTTGAAAAGCAGTGCATCTTCCAGTGGATGCG